AGCAGTTTTCACCCTCTGGCCGCCTCTATGGGGCTGGGCCCACCACCTTGCCACAGTGGCCCTCGGCCCTGCCCGCCAGCCAAGGGAGCTTCGCAAGACACGGCTTCTCACAACCCTGTGCCCCTGGACACCCGAGGGCTGGGAGAAGCAACAGTCCTGCTTCAGCCGGAGGTGGACAGATGATAAAAATAGGCCGCCTCATCCGTCCAGGGGCACTGACAGCCACATTTGGGTCCAGAGTGTAATGGCACGGGCTGCGTCCCCGAATTAGCCCATTTTTTACTAAGATGGTAATGGGTGCAGAGCTTCTCCGATGAAATCGAGTCCACTGCTTCGGTCACTTCAGCGATGGTCCCAAAATAGCTGCCCGCTGGTCATCGTTTCTGCATTAACGTTTTCATCTCGATTCAATTACATGGCTGCATATTCTGGGCTGCTGGTTTATCATCTGGGAATATAATTTAAAAGTGATCCGCACCTCACATCCCATATTCAGGAGGAAAAGTAAGAAGATAGGAATGACGCCACCCGCCTCTCCAGGACACGGGGAGGCACTTGGCCCTTTAAATTCTTTGTTGAGGGCACAGAGATGAGGCCCAGGGAACAAGGGGCATCAGTAGCCTGGGCTCACATTACCAGACAAAGCCCACCACTAAGAGCGCGCTCATTCCGTCAAGGCTAAGTGCGGTCGGGCTCCACCCTGCTCCAAGACAGTGCACCCACACTTAGAGACACTCCCAGCTTGAGATGCGTTCTAAAGCATTTGCAATTTCTGCACAACTGTCAGCTGGCGCCAGCTGACTCACATCGTGAACGCGCGTAGGACACGCTGTGATGCCGGCCAGTGGACTCTCCTTGGCTGCTGTGTGGTTCGTGGACCCTGCACCTTTCAAATGAGTAAAAATCTCTATGTTTAAAACACTGGCTCAGAGCCCAGGACCTGTCCGTGTCCCACTGAGGCACCGGTCCACCCGTGTGCAGTGGGGAGAGAGGACGTGTGGCCACACTGCCAGCTAGCCACACCCCCTCTGCCTGTAGGCCTCCATGGATCGGGGGCAGCAGACGCAGCCTCAGGGGAGCAGGACCTGGAACGAGCCCTTCACAGGTAGAAGCCCCCGAGGCGTCCCTGGCAGGGTGAGGCTTGGAGGCCACCCTTGTGGAGGGGACGGTGGCCTGCTTGTCCACTGGGGAGCACTGAGGGTGCATTGGGGGGGGGGGGGGCTCCAGGACCCCAGGGCCCACAGCCAGAGCTACCAGGTGAGGAAAAGGCCAAGTGACCTGTGGGTGCCTTGAATGTCCCAGAGGTGGAGTTTCTAGGGCACCTGGAGGACATCCCAGGTCAGGAGAGGGCCCTTCAAGAAGGGACCTGGAGGCTCTCCCAGGAGGCTATAGGTGCCGGTTTCCCTCTGTGAAAAGGTGGAGGCTCACCACTGCCACAGAGCTGGCCTTGTCCTCCAGAGCCCTGTCCCCATGGGTCCCAGCTATCCTCAGGGTCTCACCACAAGAGCTTGGGCTCTAGGGCCTGGGCCGGAGCTCATGCAGGACACAGCCTGGAGCAGGGCCCTCCTGAGCCACCCTCCCCACCCACAGGGAAGGCCCAGGCCTCACAACCCTCCCTCCCTCAGGGTCCCTTCTCTTCTCTAGGCCTCTCTTCTCTGCACATTGCAAAGTCCAGGCCTCAAGCAAGAGCCGGGGGGCGAGCAGCTGCTCTGGCTGGGGTGGGGCTCCCTGCCATGGGGCCCCAGGGACCCTCACAGTCCCCAGAGTGCCCCATGGGCCTTGGGCACTGGCCACTTGGAAAAGGCTGAGAGGTTAGGACACAGGAAGCTGACACCATGGTGGACTGTGGAGTGATATTGACCCTTCAAGGGGACACATCTCCATGCTCCTTTCTTGACCTTGAAGATGAAGGACACACACTTCCCAGAACAGCAGGGCAGGAGAGGGCTCCTGGGGGTTCCAGGAAGAACCCCAGCCCTTCCTACTGCCAACAAATGTCTGGGAGGACTCCCCTGACACAATTGTGCCCCAAGAGGTGCCTGCCAGGCAAGTGGGCACCTCCCCAGGATGATAGGAATCTCCAGGCCCCCAGTCTGCTCTCCCTAAACCCCTTGTCTAATGCCCAGGGGTTGGGCATTCCTACCTGGCCACCTTTCCCCATCCTCAACTTCAGCCAGGCATTGGATAGATGGATGGATAGATGAATGGATGGTTGGATGGGTGGGTGGGTGGATGGATGGACAGATGGGTGGATGGATGGACAGATGGATGGATGGATGGATGGATGGACGGACGGACGGACGGATGGACAGATGGATTTTTGGATGGGTGGATGGGTGGATGGATGGATGGATGGATGGATGGATGGATGGATGGATTTTTGGATGGGTGGATGGGTGGATGGATGGATGGATAGATGGATAGGTGGATTATAGATAGATGGGTGGATGGTCGGGTGGGTGTAGGTAGGGGGGTGAACCTGTAACCAACCACATCAGCCCAATGCTGGTCCCCACAGACCACACAACCTCTGCGTGAGTGTTCGTGTCCTGTGTTCAATGATAGAGAAAGATCAATGTGGGCCACGTGAGGTGTCTGCTTCCTGGGATAATGAAAATTGAAACAGTGGCGGTATTTTTCCTTTCCTCAGATTGATCCCTGAGTTTGGTGTCTGTGTCCAGACCAGAAAAGGACACAGCTCTGTCCAAGCACAGGCTCAGAAGCCCCAAGTGGGCCCCAAGTCCTGTGGATCCCCCAGTGGGCACCAGAGGACCACAGGCTGCTGGACAGGGCCAGCTCGGAGTCCTGCAGGTTCAGCCCATGCCCCCCCAGCCTTGCTACGTGTCCACTCAGGGGGCCACTGTGGGAGCCTTCTCCCTGCACTGGCCCTCCCAGCCTGGGAGAAACCCAGATAGGTTCTGTCAGCCCCGGAGGGCAGGTTCACCCCAGGCCGCTAGCCGCTCCCTTGCTGTGATGGACAGGGACTTTGGGCCACCCTGAGCCTTCAGGCGACCCAGGTGGGACCCTGCGATGGCTCTCCAGGTCTCGGGCCTGCCTCACCCCGGGTCGGCTCCTTCAGACGCACTGCTGTGCGGAGAGAGTTGAGCTGCAGGGAGAACCACCTGACCGGCCTCCTGCAGCACGGAGCCGCACTCCAAGAAGAGCGGGGCCCAGGCGTCGTTCATTATGTATTTTTGTTTAATGCTCTGCATTACTCTCACTGTCTCCTCACCCTGCAGCTATGTAAATAAAGGCAGCGAGACACTCGCCCACAGCAGAATGAATCATGGAAGAAGTTCCCCGGAGCAGGCCCATCCTGAGCCGCCCTGAGGGCAGGCTCCCTGGGCGGGGGCTGAGGCAGGGCTGTCCGGCTCTGGGCCCCCTCCGGCTTCCCTCAAGGCCTGAGGAGCAGGGACAAGAACAGAGCCAGAAGCCTGTGCACAAACCCACTGCCGAGTCCAGGATGTTCCATACCCCAGAACACGGAGCGGGGCGTTTGTGGAACCCTGTTTGGGAAGCACCTTTTCTAAGCCCTTTGCAGGTGGTGGCCAGAGGAGGGCAGCACTGGGGACCCAGGAGGTTCACTGAGGACACTCCACCCAGGGAGCACCCGCCTAGATCACTGGCAGCCTTTGGTGGACAGCAGTTGCCCATCAGAGCACTGCACACAGCAGAGGTGCCCAGTGAGTGCCAATCTGGGGACCTTGAGTTGAATTTGGTAGACAGAAGATGAGTCCCGAGCCACCTTTCAGGGGAGAGCAACCCCACAGTGGCTCAGGGTCCTCTCCACCCAAAACACAGAGAGGGGCCCCATGAGGACGCTGCACAGCAGGGAGGTGTGGGCCTCAGGCCTGCAGCCGCCCGCTCCTGTGTTCCTGGGTCAGCAGGGGCACATCGGCCAGCAGGTGGCCAGCAGGTGGCCAGCAGGGCCTAGGAGACTGAGGGTGTATGTAGGGACAGAGACCACAGGACAGCTCAGACAGTGGGCGGTGTGGTCCTGACCTACTCTGCCACTGGCCGCCAGGGCCCTTGGCTGGCCTCAGCTGTCTCCTCTGTGGAGAGGATGACAGTGGCACAGGCCTCCTGGGACGGCAGGTGTAATAATGAAACATCCTGAGAACCTTGGCACCAGAGAGCCAGGCGAGCAGGCAGCACAGAGCAGGGCGCCGCGTGTCCACCAGCGGGCAGAGCGCTGGCCCAGCCCTGCCTTGCACCAGTCTGCTCGGCCGCCAGAGCAGGACACCACCGCCTGGCGGCTTCCGCAACAGGAACTTGCTTTCTCACAGTTCTGGAGGCTGATGCTTGAGATTGCACTGTCCACAGCAAAGATGGTGGGTGAGGTCCCTTGGGTCGCAGATGGCCACCCTCTCAGTGTCCGCAGGTGGCAGAGTGAGACTGCAAGCTGTCCATATGCCTCGTGAAGACACCAGTCCTACCAGGTCGGGGCCACCCATGACCCACCTGCCCTCAGTGCTTCCTTAGAGGCCCACCCAGGGTCAGGGCTTCACCGTCACAACGTGGGGGCCGGCCTGCATCCTCAGCACTCCTCAGGGCCATCAACAGCTAAAGGGCCAAGTGGCCGTCAAAGAGAGGGCTGTCGGGGATGGGCAGAGCCGGGGTGGAACCCTGAGCCTGGCAGGGAGGCGGGAGGAACAGGCCGAGCGGGGAGGTCCCAGGCTGGACGTGGAGGTGGTGATGGCTCTGAAGACGGAAGGGCCCAGCCGGCCGGATCCTAGGCCCTGGCCAGGTCCTGAGCTGCGGGAAGTGGCCCCAGGATCAGGGCTGTTGGCAGACAGGGTGGCCCAGAGGGAATGTTTCCCGTCCTCTCTGAACCCTCCCTTGGAGAGCCATCGGACCACCACAAGCTGTGGTGGCCTGAAGCTACTTCTCCCTGGTGACAGTGGCTGCAGACTCAGGAGCCGAGCTGAGTGGACCCCCAGTGCCGGGGGTTGGTTGTGGTTTTTTGGGTAATAGATCATGTCACACGTGAGAAGAATTCATAACGTGGAGATGAAGAAAAACAATTTATTAATGTTAATAAATCCTCCAATAGAACTTCCGGGAGGACCTATGGTGATAAATTGAATAATTATGAGTATAATTATGACTAACTAGAAGTATAATTTCATGCTAATGCAATAATAATGACACAGAAGTGTAGATCATGAATTTTAACTGCTTGGTTATTTCACATTTCCACAAGTATGGACCAAAAAAAAAAAGTTAAAAAAAAAGAACCTCTCTGGAATCTGATCAAATTATGGTTGAATGGGAAGGAGAACGTGCTCTTGGATTAAGCAGACATCGTTTTGATCATCTCTACTGGACTATAAAATGGTCTTATGCTAATTAGGAGCCGGAAGATTCCGAATTCAAGAAACAGATACTCAGTAGTGAGGCATTTTTCTGAGTCAAAAACCCTGATTAGCTCAGAGCTAATCACCCTGGAGAAGGGTAAGCGCAGGTGAGAGAAGAGGGTGAGGGGCTTCTGCGTTTCATGCTGATGGGTGTCACCAGAAGGAACCAGGAAGCACAGAGTGTGAGCAGCTGGCCGGGGAGTGTCTCCGCTCAGCGCAGGCGGCGGTCAGCCAAGGAGCCGCGGGGAGCTGGAAACGGGACTTCTGGTACATCCCCTCCACAGATTAAAACAGGACGAGGACAGAGGAAGATTCACCGGGGCCATTAGAGAGCCCTGAAGATGGGCCACAGGGTCCTGGTGACGTTCTCAAGCCAAAGTCCTGCAGAAAAACCCAGAGCCTGTGAGTGGACCAGAGGGCCCAGAGGGCCGGCCAGAGGAACCCCCTGGCTGGCTCTTCCTGCTGCTCCCAGGATGCCCGCGGAGTCCACTGTGCTGTGCTTGGTTGAGAGTCCCTTGGGCAGACCTGGGGAGGGCAGACTTCCTCCTGATACAAAAGGATTGAGTCACCCCAGGACCCAAGACTCCACAACCCAGTTAGAGAAATGGCCAAGCAGAGTTCCGAGGGAGTGCCCTCAGACGCGGGGGCTCCATTGCGCCGGGGCAGCCCAGCAGGGGGCAGGGTCTGGGCTTGGCTGTTCTGCCCTGGCAGGGATGCAGTGGACGGTCCTGGGGGTCAATGTGCCCTTCCCTGGGGGCCCATGATGAGTCCTCACACTCTTACTTGCTGTCCAAATATCTTCTGGGAATGCTCTGTTCGTGTTTTCCTGGTGGTCATTTCTTACTGTGCTTTGTGAGAGCTCTTGGTAAGTTCTGGAGACAACTTCTTCACCGAATGTCAGCCCTACACATACTCCCTCCCTGTCTGTGGCTGGTCATTTACTATATTAATAGTAATCTTTGAAAGTTTTTAATTCCAACAAAGTCCAATTTATTGTTGTTTTTCCTTGATGGATTTTTCTTTTGGGTAGGATATCTATGAATTACTTGCCGAAACCAAGATCACAGAAGATTTTTTTTCCTATGTAAAGCTGAAGAATTTTTAGAGTCTAGATTTTATATTTTTAGGATATGACCCATTTTGAATTAGGTATGGATCACATTTCTCTCTCTTTCGGATGTGTATATCCAAATGTCCCAGCACCATATCTTGGAAGGCTACCCTGTCTTTATTGAGTTGCTTTTGCAAATTTGTTAAACCAGCTGTTATCCAGGCACAGATCTATTTCCGGCTGCCTGTGTGGTTCCGCTGGGGCACAGAGCTCCTCCTCAGGCTCCCCGTCCTCGATGCTGCCCCCGTGCACACCATGTGTCTCCACCCGGGTTCCTCAGAGCCGCTGGGCATAGCGAGGTTCCCTGAGTGACTTTTAGAATCACTTGGTCGGTTTCTCGGAACAGATTGAATAAGGTCTTAGCTGATTGTATGAACCTATAGACCAGTTTGGAGAGAACAATGTTTAACCTTCTGGCTCATGAATTCATTCTCTCTTCTTCCTCTTTAATTTCTCTGGGAAATGCTTTAAGGATTTGAGTGTCTCGGCCTTGTTCACGTGAGGTCAAATTGTGCACAAGTATTCCATATTTTGATATCATTACAGATATTTTTTAATTTTATTTTCTGGGTTGGTGTCATAAACATAATTGATAAATTGCGACTGATCTTATACTAACCTTGTGTCCTAGGGACGCTGAGCTCGCTTACGGCCTCCAGCAGCCTTTATGTGGATTTCCCTGGATTTCCACGTGGACCCCACGTCACCTCTGAATACAGTTCTGCTTCTTTCACCTTCGGATAAGAAGCCTCGTGCACACGTGTGTGAGTGTGTGAGTGTGTCTGTGTGTGTGTCTGTGTGTCGGTGTGTGTGTGAGAGTGTTGAGTGTGTGTGTGTGTGTGTGTGTGTACACGTGTGCGTTTGTCTCATGCCGACTAGCCGTGGTGAGAGTGGGCGATGCCCCCTGCCTCCAGGGACCCCCAGCCTTCCACCCAGTGTCATCCTGGGCCTCTTTCCTCAGTTGAGGTGCCACATGCCTTTCCCTCCGTGGTGCTCATCCAGCCATTGAGGACGGTGACTCGGGGTGCGGAAGGCTGGCTTCCCGGGACGAGGCTATGTCGTTGCCCTCTGCTGAGCTCCACCTGCTGGACCCCGCTTGGCGCTGCTGACCGCGTGTTCTGAGAGGACTGCTCCGTGGTTTTCTTCCGCACAGCCTTGGTGTCGTGTCTTGTGTCCCAGACATGTGGCCTCATGAAGGCCACCGAGAAGCATGGTTCCTCTGCCCTGGGGGAGGGAGAGCGGGGCTGGCTTTGGCTTCTGGGATGAAGAACGCGCCGTGACGCGCTGCCCGAGCCCCTCTGCGAGACGGACTGTGCTTCAACAGCTCTAGAGCCCCGGGGTCGGTCCTGTCGCTTTCTCTGTCGTGTCTTCTGCTCTCGTTGGCGATTTGCTTTCTTCCAACACACGAGGCTGAGTGTGACCTTGTCCTGTGGGTCCCAAGGGGCCATTGCTCTCCTTCCACCAGCACTCACCTGCAGGACCTGTCACTGCGTTGGTGGCATCTGGCAAATTTTGATCTCTGTTATTTTGGTTTAATTTCCATTCAAAATACATCCTAAGGGCTGGGGTGGTGGCTCAGGGGTGGAGCGCTCACCTCGCAGGCATGAAGCCCCGGGTTCCATCTTCAGCTCCACACAAAAATAAATAAATAAAAATGAAGATAGTTTTAAAATTTAAATATATATATTATAAATTTCCTTTCATTTTCCTCTTTGGCCTATTGGATATTAGAAATGTGTTCTTTTGTTTCCAACAATTTGGGGATTTTCCAAGATCTTTCTCCCATTGGTTTGAATTTTAATGCTGTTGATTCAGGAGCAGCCTTTGCAGGACTTGAATCCTTCTACATCTGCTGTGGCTTCTCCGGGACCTAATGCAGGTCTTCTGAGCATTTCCTGGGTGGGGGGCAGTGGGGAGAACAGGCATTTGGCTCTCGTGGGGAAGGGCATTTTTTGAACGTCAGTTTGTGTACAGATCTACCTGGTTCCTGACTTTCTGTATCTCAGTCTACGATTATAGAGCGGCTCCGAGACCTCAGGCTGGGGTCACAGTCCTTGAAACTTACCTTCAGGCCGGAGTTTGCTTTGCATCTGGAAGCCTTCCCGCTGGGGGAGCACAGGCCAGGGCTGCCGGGGGGGGGGGGGGGGGGGGGGGGGGGGGGGGGGGGCGGGCTAGAGTGGAAACTGGGTCTTGCTCGTTAACTGACCTCTCTCCTTCCTCCCCACTCACACTCAGGGCGACCTGCTGGCACCCACACTCCTCTCCAGTGCCTCAGTGTTCCTGCCCCTTCCCCACTGCTTTTCTGACTTGTGTTGGGTTCCATGGTGTCTCCTTGGTGGAGTGAAGTCTTTGATCTCTTGCTTCTCGCGGCTGCTTTGGGGTGCAGACATCGCCGCCTTCACTCCCCACAGTGACTCCGCGAGGCTGTCCCTCACAGAGGTGCAGGAAGCCCACGGTGCTTCTCCAGCTACTCTTAGAGCCCTGGGAATAGATTCACCTTTGCCTGCGTCATCAGCAGTCCAAAGACAAGGTTAGCAACAATTTTTTTGTCAACAAATTAATCAAAAATAACAACTTAATTACAATGGACTAATGAGTTGAAAATCCAACCTACCAAGTTGTACAGAAGCAGGAAGGGGAGAAACTGCTCTGGACTGGATCTCACAGACAGGAACACACAGACAGGGGGGCGGGGGGCAGAATTTCAGGGAATAATTCTATAAACAGGGCCCACTGTGCTGGCCCCCACGTGCTTCCTCTTTTTAAAAAGCAATTTACCTGAAGCCCTGCCTGGCTGAAGTCAATAGGATGCGTCACATTTCTCAGCAAACTACCTGCTATCTGCAGGAGCAATGCAGGCCAGAAAGGCTGATAAGAAGAACACAAGCCACCCTGAAGAGGGGACTTTGTGACCCTTACACAGACCAGATCCCAGAACTCAGGGAGATAAGGATGATTCCCCTAACCATAAAACCTGTAAGCACAGGTTCCAATTAGAACGGAGCAGCATGGGCCAAAGTGACCTAGAGTGGTCATGAATAATGGGACTTGAAAGGCTGATGTCACCCTGCTGTCAGTCAAGTCAAGAGGTGGACATGGGTGGGACTCTCAGGAAACCTCCCTGGGACCCCCGGTTAACTCGGAGGGCAGGAGAGGCCCACTGCCCCTGTCCCCTCTGAGAGGACCCACTGTCTCTCTGGAGCGTGCCCCCTTTTCCCCTGTCCCATCCCTTCTAAGACCTCGTGCCTGCTATTCTGAGTGACAAGTCTGAAATCTTTCTGGCTTGATCCCAAGAACTGGTGAGAAAGGACGGTGGTGGCCTTGGCTTCCCAGCAGGCCCTGCTCTGCCGCAGTATCACCTAGAGTACTGTCCACTGTCCACTCTGCTCTGTCCTCGGACCCGTGTGTGAGACAGCCCAGTGTCCATGACAGCAGCAAGAGGACCGACTGGGACTGGCCCCTCCTGGGTTTTGCCAGGTGGGACGCTGAGTGGGGCCCGAGAGCAGAATGGTGGGAGAGGGGAGTCACCCTGGATTGGTCTCGAGGACCCCTGGAAGGGCTCATGGTACAGGGCCATGGGACAGCCTGGTGACTCAGCTAGGGGACAGGCTGACGGCAACACCCTGCCCTGGGACAGTGAGACGCTGCCACCATGCTTGGCAGCCCCACCGGGCTCCCACGTCCCTCCCTGCCATTCCAACCCCAGGGACCTGGCTGAGCGGCATGAGGACGAGGCTGGGAAGAGACCCAGCAGGGTGGGCTCCCGACCGCCTGCCTTTCTCTCAGCTGACCTGTGGCCCTGCACACCGTGAGCCCAGGGAAGAAGGAGACTTCGACATGAAATCAACCTAGAGAAACAGACATTCCATTTTCTGACCAAGATTGTATTTTCAGCAGAAAGTGAGCGAATCACTCTCCATTACCAAGAGCGCCAGGGGCACCTGCTGCCACTCTCAGGATGACGGGGACCAAGTCCACAGGTAGCACAGGGAGTGGGTTGGTCTGCTCGCCCCCCAGGTGCTGAAGCACCCGCTGGAGGGGCAACTTCCAGTCCCCTGTGGTCCCTAGGCCAGCTCCTCCCCTCCATGTGCGACTTGTGGGTGGCACCATCCCCCAGGACACGGAGCCATGCCACCTGGGCCACTCTGAAAACAAGGAGCCCTGCAGGTCTCCAGCTCTCAGACCTGGAGGTGTCCCGTGCTGCCCAGGCAGGGCCCGGCGAGGGACAGGCTGCCCAGCAAACGGGTCCTGTCTGGCCAGGAGGGATCTGGGCACAGGGTGGCATCATCTGTCTGAGAGCATGGGCCGAGCGACCCCACTCAGATAGCAAGCAAGGACGCAGATGCCCTGAGACTGAGTCGGGTGACGTGGAGGACAGGGTGGGAGGGGCGGGAGCCACAGGGCTGGGCAGGGTGCTCTGCCTCCACCTCTTGGCGGTGGCTTCACCCCGAGCCCTTCTGGGGTCCCACCGGGCCTCCTCCTGAGAGCGGGAAGCTCTGGGCTCCTTGCCCTGCACACAGGAGGCCTGGGTAGAAAGGAGCCCTTAGGCACAGCCACCTCAGGTCCCTGTGGCTGGGACAGGAGGCTCCAGAGGAGGCCCTGGAGACCTGAGGGAGGACGGTGTCAGGAAGGCAGGGAGCAGGGGTGGGGTCAGGGCAGGCCGTGCAGAGGACATGGCTGAATGAAGACCCGCGGCGGAAGCCGCCTCTCCACCGAGCAGGAGTGGGGGTCCACGGCCTGAAGCCACGCTCAGCACTGTCCCCCGCACCCCCTGCCCCGCAGCTTCGGCGGTGACCTCCACACTGAAGCCCGATTCTCTTCTGAGTCATTCCCTTCTCCTTCAGCTCCCAGCTCCCGGCAGGCGGGGCGGCTTCCTCTGAAGTCCAGCAGGCTCTGTCCAGCTCGGGAGCCAGTGAACATGGACAGGAGAAGCGTGAGGACCCCCTGGCTCTGGGCTGGCTAATCTGTGTGGCTGGGACCCTGCGGCAGCCAGTGCAGGTCCCCCGCAGACACCTCGGGGCTCTCGCGACCCGTTCTGGGTCGTGGATGCTGGGTACATGTGCCCTGTTGTACTGTCCCGGCTCTGCCCACAGTGGGCACTGCCCACCCCCTCCGGCCCAGCCTGAGGAACCTCTCCCTGATGGGCTCTGGCACCACCAGGTCACTCTTACGTGGGGACTCCGTCTCCTCCCGTCTGGAGTCCGCTCCCTTCTCAGCAGCCTCAGCCGTGTGAGAAGCCCCTGCATCACCCCAGGGGCTCTGACGACACCCCGTTAGTAAGACCTGTGAATGGAACTGTCCACGTTGACAGAGAAGAGCCACAGGCCACCCAGGGGAAGCTGGAAGCCACCTGGCCAAGTCAACACCAACTGGATGTTTTTAAAAACAGCAAATCAGGAAGAGAGGGGAGGGTCCCGGACCTGACGGTGGAAGGAGGCCATGAGGGGGGCGTGCTGGCTGGTCGCCACGTGCCATCACACTGCCGTCATGCCTAGAGACTCCCCATGAGACCCTCCGAGGCACCCAGGCAGTCCAGGGCCCCCGTTCCTCGTCCCAAAGTCCTTGCTGCAGGGAATGTTCTCATTTCCTACCTTCAGGGAAGTTGCTGGGCACCTGCCTTGTGTGAGGCCAGCGCTGGGCACTGCAGAGAGCACACAGCAGCCTCTGTCCCGCCCTTGGTGCCAACAGCCCTGGGAACCAGCAGTGTTCCCACGGCCCCCGTGGGTCACATGCTAACCCTGCTGTGCCGCGCCGGCCAGGCCACGGGTTCCGCGGTGCACAGAGCACGCGCCTCGGCAAGGGCACTTCTGGGAGCCATCCCGGGGGAAGGAGGAGAATCACTGTGAAAACAGTTTTCACCTCTATTAACAACTCACTCTATAAAGACAATGTCAGACTTAATCAGGAACTGGAGACGCGGGGTGTTAAATCAAATGGAGAGGAACCTTCTGAATCCCCAAACGCAGCTCTGGGAAAAACAACACTGAGTCCAGGAGAAAGCAAGGCCGCCAGAAAAGCCCGGGCGCAAAGTGACATTTACAAGAATTGATGACAGGCCTCTGAAACCCCACGTTCAATTACCTGGCCCTGGTTCCAGCGCTGGGCCCCGCGGCTAGAGGCCTCTCCCACTGCACCCACTGCACCTGTGACCGCAGGGGGCCCTTCAGAGGCCAACAGCCTGCCCCCGGCACATTAGCATCAGAAAGCCCTGAAACAGGCCCCTGGGAGCGAAGGAGCCTCTACTCATTGCTCAGGTGGTACTCCAGGCTCCCGGTGTCCTTCCTGTGCGGGCACAGTGACCAAGCCAAAGCTGTGTCCACCCTCGTTGGGGACAGGCCGAGAGTGAGCAAGTTAAACACCTGCAGGATGTGCTCGGTGGTGATGAGGAGGACACTGAGGGGCAGGGCCGGCGGCCAGGCAGCAGTGTGGGGCAGGAGGGGGCAGGAGCAGTGGATCAGGGAGACCAGCTGGGAACGGCCCCGTGGAAGGTGAAAAGCCTTGGGCAGGACCTCCAGGATTTCCTGACCTCCAGGAGTGGGCAGGTCCACACATTCGCCAGGGCTCTGAGGATGTCCTCAAGGTCAGTTGAGATGCACTGGAGCCCCAGAGGGTCTGCCGTGGATGGAAACGTCATCTCTGGG